GTCCAGATCTGGCCAGAAAACGTTTAGGAGAGTCCAAATCTTGCCAGCTAACGTTCAGGGGTGATCAAGCACTCAGGAGGGCCGTGCCCCTGGCAACGAGCGGCCCCTGATTGTCTGACAACAAGATGAAGATGACCTACCATTTGACTCTTGAAAATTGCCTTATTTTATCCTAGACAATTACCAGCTGTAAACATATTGCACTGATTCCTATTTTCTTAAGTCGTGCTTCTAAGACCGTGACAGTTTGACCACGCAATACTCCCATTTGCCCTGACACTAGAAAAATGTGTAGATGATTATAGATCAGCGTCTAACTCCGGCACACAGCATAACTGCAGCGAAGTAGCAATGCTAGAATGCACCGTTGAAACATCACAATGTTCTACCAATGTTGCAACAATGTAGAACTAACGTCACGGCTGTGTGTGTGTGTCTGTGTGTTTGCTGTGGTATACAGGGATATATATATATATATATATATATATATATATATATATATATATATATATATATATATATATATATATATATATCTTCAACAGTGAAGCATAATGTACGAAAGATTGAGAAAATTCGTGTTAGAATTATTAATCTTACTTTTTCGGTCATATTTAATAATATATATATATATATATATATATATATATATATATATATATATATATATATATATATATATATATATATATATATATATATATATATATATATATATATTCGAGGAAGTAACCTTGTGCGTCTTGGTCTTGGGCGACCAGACAACCATTCCCTTCCCATCTATCTTGACTACAAATAGACCTCATTAGGTTCTCTCCGTGAAGTACAAGGAGTAATATTTGTCAGCTCTTGACAAACGACTCGAGCACATGCTGCAGTAGTTCGCCCTCTTGTCTACCTAGAGCCATCTAGTATGTATTTTGCAGTATTATGTGTATCCTGTAGTAGTGTATGTATCCTGTCGTATCCCGTGTATCCTGTCGCAAAGTGCGTATCTAGTGGCATTAGAACATGCCAATCTATCACTAGAGTCTGTCTATCTCCGAAGAGCAACCCTCGCGAGATTCTATTTATCGAAAAAACTGGAACTTACTGGTACCTCTCGCGGTAGGTACTGGTACCTCTCGCGGTAGGTACTGGTGCCTCTCGCGGTAGGTACTGGTGCCTCTCGCGGTAGGTACTGGTGCCTCTCGCGGTAGGTACTGGTGCCTCTCGCGGTAGGTACTGGTACCTCTCGCGAAGTGTTCACCATTGACCACCAGACCCGCCATCAACACCTTGCTCATAAAACACTTCTCAGCCTGGTATTTTCTCCCATATATATCAGGAGAAGGTTTCAACAACTGCCTGGTTTGGCTGCTGAAAATCATGAATTGTATAAGACATCATCAACATGCATGCATAGCGTGACCGTCACCTTGAAAAGGAATTCGTAAGAACTCGGGTTCTTGACGCGAGAGAGAGAGAGAGAGAGAGAGAGAGAGAGAGAGAGAGAGAGAGAGAGAGAGAGAGAGAGAGAGAGAGAGAGAGAGAGAGAGAGAGAGAGAGAGAGAGAGAGACAAAGAACGAATCACTACATAACACTAACAGCTCTAGCAAGAAGCACTTACAGTAGTCTTGACAAATTATATAATATATAATTAAAGCTTAATTGACAATATAACTATGATATTAAGCCAATAAGCCCTCTCGTTAAAGCAACTTTAACGTAACAAGAATTATCGCCACAGCTTTGACACATGTTTACACAGTATTACACATTCAAGCAACCTAGATGTTCATAATGAAATGTTTGAACTGGATTGTGTAATGTATATAAACCCAATGCTCAGGAAGTGTTGTGTGTACTGACGATTGTGTGTATAAATGTCATGTAATACTGTGTTACTCTGTGTTTTGTTTTGGCTATTGCATTGTGATTTATGTTACGAATTTATATGGTTTGATGTAAGGCGAGTTTTTCTCTCTCTTCCTTGTAATCGTGAGATGTTGGTCCCTGGTTGATCTTTGCTGATCCCAATATTGTTTGCTATTAATCCAGGCGTTCGGTCCACTTTTTTGCGGTTATTCCAGCCTTGTAAATCACACACACACACACACACAAACAAATGGGCAAAGTTTCTTTCACCCTAAGTGCCCCTGTTACCTAGCAGTAAATAGGTACCTGGGAGTTAGTCAGCTGTCACGGGCTGCTTCCTGGGGTGTGTGTGTGTGTGGTGTGGAAAAAAAAAATAGTAGTTAGTAAACAGTTGCTTGACAGTTGAGAGGCGGGCCGAAAGAGCAAAGCTCAACCCCCGTAAAAACACAACTAGTAAACACAACTAGTAAACACAACTAGTAAACACAACTAGTAAACACACACACACACACAAATACATAAGGTACTTCACCTACTGCAGTTTTCTGGTTGTCAAAGGAATTAAATAATAAAATGCAGTTAATGCATGGTCAACCATGGTATTGAGGTCTTTACGTGAGGCAGACATGCTAATCCAGCGCACCTTCTCCACAACAGTGAAGGGGGAGTGGCCAATTAGCCTCGGTGAAGAAATATATATATTTCACAAGTGTATTTGTGACATAGGGGAAGGAGAGGTAGGTAAAAAAAAAGTTTGTGAAAGACTGATAAACACAAAAATACAGAGAAAAAGTGGCACTGGCAGGCTATATTGTTCATCTAGCAGTAAAATAGGTACTCGGGAGGAAGGAAACTATTGTGGCTTGCATCCTGCATATCAAGGAATACCTTGACCAGCACTGGTTCAGGCCTTCTGTCACTGACAACGAGAATTGATACAATTAATGAGAATTAACGAATTGCAGTTTTATGATACTGGATCTACCTACCTTGTTTAACTGCTGTGGGTTTCGGGGATCGGTATCCCCGCGGCCCGGTCTCTAACCAGGCCTCCTGGCTGGTGGACAGGCCAACGATGCAAACATTGCCCGAATTGCTACGACTGAAGACATTGAGTTTCTCGAAAGATGACATATACCACATAAGCCTTGAAATGGATATTCAAACGTTAACAGTTTAAACATTTAATTTAATTCACGTGTATAAATTCAGACTTAAGAAATAGACAAAGAAATTTGAATTTACTTCCATAATAAAATTTATATTACATTCAAATACATTATTTTTAACAAGAAATACAAACTGCATATTTAACTTATACATTATACATGTTTCTTCAGTGCCAGAAGGTACATTAAATTTGAGACCTGGCTTTATTACGAGTTTTCATAATTAATAATTAAATAATTTAATATGCTAATATACTATATTTAATATACTATATTAGAGACTACAAAATATACAAATAATAGATAATTATGTTAAATATATTTACAAAATGTATTTTAGTTACTGTAGGTTTTAATTTCGAATCCTATATTGCACTAATATACATTATATACTGTAAAACAAATCAATATTTACTTTTACCTACAAAGGTACACCGAAAGGTGTACACCTGTTCTTGGAGTACATGCACGGAGTCTACATTAGTTCAGGATGAGAGTAAACTTGCTAACTGGTTAGTAAGTTACTTTAGGAGGCTATAATATCCCTCCAGAGGTTGACAGATCCTAAATCCAACACCAAATAAAATTTGTAATGAACTAAGGAGAGTTATTCATAGTGTTTACAAATTATACAAGGACTGTATATATGTATTATACAATGTGATATATATAATGGAATAAGATCAAAGTTTGACTGATCTTATTGAATGATGACACAGTACAGGGTCAACACACAAATATCATTGCAGACTATTGCATTCCAGTTGCAAGAACCATGCTAACATTTGTTCGTTTGATTCATTTGTAATATAAATACAAAGTTTACATAACAATGAAAATTACGGTATGGGTAATAGATCTTTTTTTTAGGCTCATTATCGTGTGTATTGCTGATGGTATGTAGCTGTGTTGATGATGAAGTTCTTGGTGATGCTGTGGTTCGTGTTGATGCTGTGGATGTTGGTGATGCTGTGGGTGGTGTTGATGCTGTGGATGTTGGTGATGCTGTGGATGTTGTTGATGCTGTGAGTGTTGTTGGTGATGAAGTGGGGGTTGTTATTGATGCTGTGGCTGTTGTTATTGATGCTGTGAGGGATGTTATTGATGATACTGTGGTTGTTGTTTATGCTGCAGGTATTGATGATGCTTCAGGGATTGATGATGCTGCAGGTTTTGCTATAGCTGGAAGCTTTGATGTAAAGCCAGCTTAACAGCACCAGTTTGAGAGTGAGCCAAAGCTGAAGACTCCAGACACTCTCATAGTTCACATCTTTGATTACAAACACAGAAGAGAGTGAGCTGTTTGGATTGATATTAGGCGTCATAACATCTAGCCTGATAGACACGCAAGATCTATCAGGCGAGTGACTCTTCTCACAGGGAAGAAGAAAGATTTTTCTGAGACAAAGTTTGCAGTTTACAACTGGAATAAGAAATGTTTCGCAAAGCATATTGCATCGTTTTTCCAGTAGTGGCTTTATAAGTGGTTTTTTAATAATTGAGACAGCATCCTTACGGTGATCGTCAGTCACTCTCTTTATGCACTGATTGCATGGTTTAAGCGCTAAGGTCAGCATAATCACTTGCACTGCTCAAACACTTACTGAAATTCTGTCACTAATTAATGTCAAATGTTCAGTTATTGGAATGCCATCAATGTCTGTCACTTGAGCACTCACTATCCATCACAAGTTTGGGAATCCATCAGTGACTCACTGGACCACCCACTTGCATCACAAGGTCATATTCTATCCCCAATTACCCAACTAATTGAATAAATTGGGTAAAGTCCTGCCAGTATATTGAACTGTTTTTCCACCGGTCAAACAGGGCCTCATGATCTTAAATATCAAGATTTCCCTGTTACTCAATATGTAACAAAATTCTAAAGACATACAAGGGGTTAAACGTCACCTTCCGTTGAATAGTATAACGAATCTGCCATACCCAGAGTGCCACTTATGGACCATACGTCATAATGCTCTGTGGTCTAGTGGCTGCGTAGGAGCGTTGAGGGGAGTTATCATCTCTTTGTAATGTCCCTTCTCCCTGTCCTCCCACTCACTCGTGTGCCTCCATCTCTCGCTCAGGATACGATCCGGATACGGTTCAAGGGACTTTCCGGCATGACTTCGCTCCGAGTAGAGTCGGGCGTGGTCAGGCTCTTCCGATCTGTAGAGTGCGCGATCCGAATACAATCTCGGGTAGCTGGGTTCCAGTGATCTACTGGTATACTCAGAGTATGATCCGGCATGGCTTGCGTCCACGTACCCTCCATCATATCGACGCTCACCGTATAATCTTATCCGTCCGGGATCAGAGGTATCCGAGGTATAGCCATGGTCTCGTGCGCCTGAGGTATACCTGTCACGCACAGGATAAAGTCTGTGTCCTCGTTCTGTGTAGGATATAGAGTGCTCGCGGTGGATTGCAGATCCAGCACGCCCAACCTCTATGTAGGGCTGGTGACCCGCCCTCATATCCTGACGAAGTCGATCCAATGACGGCTCATGTCGAGTGTACTCGACGACACGGGCACGGTGTACGTACCTTGCAGGAAGTTCGTGGTGCATGCGATGTAGGGATGATGGCACGGACCGAAAGCTCTGTAGGAGCGGGTCGTGGTGAACATGTTCTGCGGGTCGTTCACGGTTTACGTGTTCTACAGACGGGTATTTCACAGCTTGATGCCTCTGTTCTTTCTCGTCCGTAAGATCTCGTCCGCCTTCCAAGGATGGTCCTGGATGCGCACGTTCTAATGATGATCTTGTTTGTCGACGATCAGTGGACGCTGAAGGGTGTCCACGCTCCGAAGATCTTGAACGCATGCCGCTCTGGGATTCAACCGTGTATTCGCGTTGCGATTGTCTTGTGAGACTTTCTCCGCTTTGAGACTTGATGGTTCCTTCACGTTCTAGAGATTTTCCGGAATGACCTTCAGACTGAGCTTCGTGGGCGTGAGGCCCTCCTGATCGGCTCCTAAATGATGGGGCAACGTGACGCCCGCCTCCTTGAGAAGCTACGGTGCGTTCACTGTCTTGTAGCTGCCTGTCGTGAGCCGATTTACGATTCTGATCTGACTGTGTCTGAAATTCTGAGTTGTTAGGTTTCAGGACCTCGGCCTCTTGCCTCGTAACTTTGGTCTTAGGAATCGATGCCTCATATTCCTGTGGGTTAGCGAACTGTTCTGGTGGTAAATCTGCGTAATGGTCATGATGTTGGTTGACATGTGGTGCAGGATGCGAATGATCACTGGGGTGCCGCTCCTGGTGGTGTGACCGTTGGGTTTCATTTTCCTGTTGGTGAGATTGAGGTGCATCTCTGAGGGCACCGTGGTGAACCTGTACTTGGTGCTGGATTAACTGAACTTTGGTCTTAGTTCCAGGATCCAGTTGCTGGTTTGGTCTTTCGTTTTCTGTATTCACCAAACGCTTGTGCTGGTGGCTCTCTATGTTAAGATCATCTAGATCAATGAAGGATTTTCTTCTGGTGAGTGCAGGAACTTGTTGAGAATTTTCATGGGATGTGTTCAGTCCTCGGCTTCGTTCTCTGCTAGATGTCGAGTTTCTTCCTTGGTCTTTGTCTGTCCCCGATTGGACAGTCCTCGATACTTGCTTGCCGTGTGAGGCAGCAGAATTTGTATGGGTATCGGAGCTGCTGTTATCTGTTATCAAGTCATCGGAAAGTCTAAACCGTGTTCTTGGTTGCTCTTGAGAACTCCTTGTTTGTTTCTTTAGTTGCTGTGCTACCAGTAGTCGCCTTGGTCGTGGTGGGCCTGACATTCTTGTCTGTGAACCTTGATCCTTTTTTTCCTTCCTGGGCCTCCTTCTCTCTCTCTTATCTTGATTGTTATCTCTCTGATGATTCGATGGATGCTGGTGCCCATCTTGCCTCGTTGATGATGTCGCTTCATTATTCTGCTGTTGATGTGATGGCGGCTTCTCAGTTTTCCCAGTCTGAGAGAGGTGTTTCTTCACTGGTTTCAGAGAGGACTTTTGTTGGTTTTCCTGCTGTGGGGTTGGCTGCTGTTCTGCTCGTTGACGCTGCGATGTTTTCCTCTCATGATCGTGATGCTGTGGCTGCTCCCAGTGCTTCGGTGTATGTGTCTTGCTCCTTGGTTGCTGCTCTAGAGACTGCTCGTCGGCTTTATGGCGTCGTGATACGCGCCTAATTTGTTGCTCTGGCTGCTCTTCCAGCTTTAACTGCTGCTGGGCGTGTCGCTCTGCTGCTTTGCACTTGTGACGCCCTGATGCCTCTCCCTGAGAGCGCCGGTTCGAGTCGCTGCAAGCTCCTTGGATCGGGGTCTTGCTCTGGTGCCGGAGCTGCAACTCTCGCAGCTCCTCCAGCAGCTTCCCGTCCTCCTCCAGACTCCTCACCTGAGTGATAAAAAGTTTATATCTATCTCTTCCCTCCATCTTCCTCTCAGGCAAATATTTGTGTTTATATAATTTTGAGGCACCGTTACATTCACTGTTACTTTGATCTGTGAGCCCTCTCATGCTTTCACAGTCGCCCAGGCCTACTGTTGCTGACTCTCATCACTGTTGTCGTAATATATACATAATGAAAACTACGTTAAAGTAATCACGACAAATTTGTCACTATAAGTTCTACATAAATTTACAAATACAAACTAAATAGCTCTCTCTCTCTCTCTCTCTCTCTCTCTCTCTCTCTCTCTCTCTCTCTCTCTCTCTCTCTCTCTCTCTATCAATCAATCTCTAGCTATATATCTATTTCTCAATTAGGTTGGCAAGTGTTTCCATTCAAAAATATTTAAATAATTTGTTTTGATTATTAAAAAAAATCATGCATATACTACAATGGTGAGATTTAATAAGACATTCACTCACATTAACAAAGACGTTCACACAAGTTTTAACAGAAGCAGCTTAAAAATAAATAAGAAATATCATAATAAAAACGTAGCAATAATTAACAAGAGCGTAAAACTTGTGTAAGTGCATGCCCCCCCCCCCACACACACACACAAAAGCATTATATATACACATAGAATACAAGAGAAAGTGCTTCGAACGTCAGGTCATGCAAGAGAGATCATTAGCATCAATGCGATGAGCGTTTCGTCAGGGGTGACAGATGACAGCAGAGAAACACAGGTGACAGCAGAGGGACACAGGTGACAGCAGAGGGACACAGGTGACAGCAGAGGGACACAGGTGACAGCAGAGGGACACAGGTGACAGCAGAGGGACACAGGTGACAGCAGAGGGACACAGAGTACAAAAGCATTTACACCAAAGCCATAGTTTTTCTTTTCAAAACTAATCAAGGAATAGGAACAGTAGCACAGAAAACGGTAAGTGTAGTTGACACCAAGTTGATGCCAAATGTGGACATGCCAAGTTGTGCTGGTGCTAAGTATGGGCATTCTAGGTGGTGTTGATGCCAATTGTGGGCATGCCAAAGGGTGTTGATGGCACGTGTGTGGGCATGCGAGGTGTCGTTGATTACATACAAGTGTCTTGCTAAGAGAGAGTGACATCAAGTGAGCATAGTGAAGTGCGGCCATACAGCGGTTGAAGAAACACAACGGGAACCGGATTCTGAAGAGATATGAACCATTTATCTCTCTTTGCTATCAGTCCCTGACGGAACGGGGGGCGTGTTTGGAGTCCCAGTGGGCTTTCGGCGTCAGGTAAGTGCCGAGGATGCGCTTTCGCATCCCATTCCAGGGAGGGAAAGTTAATCTTTGAGAATCACCAGTCGCTTCGGGATCCTCCGTGTGGACCTTTGTGCTGGCTGCAATAAGGTTGATCACACCGATAATTACCTTGATCCTGGGGCGTACGATCGTCGTTTGTGACCTGAGACTCGTCGGACTAGAAGTGATAACCTAAATCTAAATGACTTGATTTGCGTTGGTTATGTTGTTGTTAACGTAAGCTATTGTCTTATGGCATAAAGAAAATATGTGAAACTAACGATTAATGTCAGTATATGCGTCCTGTGCAATTATACGGGAAGAGATTTTGTTAATTAGTAGTTTCTGAATGACTAACTGAACTTGAAGTGAGCGGCAGAGTTATGTTATAGATACAGGAAAGTGAGATGATAGTTGTAGTGTTGGACTATATTTTACTTATATTCGTGTGCTTGGTATCACGTGGGACCAGATAAAGTGCTTACATTCAGGAGTGTGTTTCAAAATATCAGGTCAATAAGCTGCTTTAAATCCCAATGTGTAAATGAAGAAAACTCTCTCTGTCTCTCTCTCTCTATGAGCTCCTTTACGAATTGTGAAGCAAATATTTAAATCTATGAAAATCTTTACTAGTTTTTGCCAGTTATATTTCTATTTACAGTTGGCACCACTCCACTATGTCTACCTGAAAGCTGGCCACACAGTTCCCATACTGTGTTTCAGGAATATCTAAACTTCATTATTCAAGAATCTTATGTACAACCTGCGTGTAGAAGTGTCATTCATATGATAGAATTGCTCGAGCAAAATAGATCTCCTAACTACGTTGCCAAGGGGCAAGATGGGTTGCCACTTGGCAAAGGTTTTAAACAGCGTTTCATACCTTGAGTGAGAGGGAAGGTTGGCCGGAGGCGAGGGCGAGAGAGGTCGTGGGTGAGAGTATACCGACGCTGTGGGAGCGGCCACGGCTGCTAGCGTCACGCCAGAGAAGTGAAGCTACTCACCCTCTGCCTTGTGTAGAGTGTCTTGTGTCTGGAGCTGGCCACGGACGTGACGGACGAGGCGCGGGACATGCCAATGCCTGAGGACTCCGCAGTCGTGATGGATTGGAGACTTAAGGTGCTGGAAGGGGGAACTGACGAAGATCGTTTTCTGCGTTCGCGAGACGTTTGTGATCCTCCCGGGTGGTCTGGGTGCAAGTTCTGCGTCCATCCCTGAGATTTGACGTTGTTGCGAGATCTTGTCTGCTTCTTCGTTACTTGTGTCGCTTCTTCTTGCTCCTTCTCGCGACGCTGGAAGGACGCCTGGATTCGCCGTGCAGCTGTGTTGGTAAGCTTCGGCGCTTTTAAGCGTGGTCGCTTCGGCTTGCGAACCAAAATTCTTGGATGATACTTGATATGGTACCTTCTCGACTCTTTAGCGAGCTGCTTTTCAACTTTTTCCAAAACTTCTGGAGGCGCTTGGCCCTCGCTCACCGCCCTGCGCGCCCGCTCCAGTATAGCCTGCTCTCGCCTCTTCATCTGGATCCAGTGGGACAGGACCATGGAGCCTACTCGCCGGGGGATTCCGTTCCGTATGTGTTGCTCCTGGTTTTCTTGACAGGAGAGAGCACAGGACACCGGCGGTAACATAGGAGACGGCGCCGTCTTCGCCTGGTTACTGCCCATCGGTCGTGGTGACACTTCAACACTATTCTCTCACTCCCATATATATAAATTTATCTATTTTTTTCCACACTCGATCAAAACTATTTACAAAGGCCTCATAATCAGCTGTTTTGGTGGCCAGAAAGTCATTAATAATTTCTAGTCTGAAGAACGTTTCTGAAGAACGTTACAGTAACACCACTTTGAGGCTAAAGGTGATACAGTAATTAATATAGCCGGTAGTCGTGATTGCAAAGTAGCAAAGCAGTCAATGTATAAGTCGAAGGATTGACATAGCTGCTTTTCTTGTATCCTTTCGTCCTGCTTCATCTCTCTCCCTGTGAATAAGTCTTGGGGAAAAAATCACTTAAAATTTATGCATACGTAATGTATTCAATCTGAGATTCTATTTATATAAATTGTTATTATTCACTTTTCAATCACTAAGTAAAGTGTATTATGTAAATATTGCGTATTTACAAGTGTTTTGTGCGTTTCTGATCAAACTTACAGAATTGAAAAATATTATTTAACTGCTAACGACTTGATATAATTATGTTTTTATATCTTCAAACTGTATTCATGTTTTGTTTTCATTAGTGATAAATTCTTTAATTAAATTTGTTAATCAGAATAAAAGTTATTATAATGATTGGAGTAATATTACACTCTTCTCTTTTTACATTTAAAAAAAATTATTTTAAATAACAAATTAATAAGAATACTTAATTATTATTAATATTTAACACATAATAATTAAATTAATTAGAAAATTGCGAATTACATAATATAGAAGAAATTATTGCCCAATAATTTCATTGCTAAAACTGGAATCAAGACAGCTGACAGCTGCGGGTGTTGGGTGCAGGTGTCAACGAGCTGACAGCTGTAGATAGCAGGTGTTAAATGCTGGGGGGTGGGGCTGACAGCCAATAATCCCAGATGATGCAAGTGGTTGGGCACCTTTCCTTCATCCCATCCTCATATCCCAGCTCCGTGTCCTCATATCCCAGCTCCGTGTCCTCATATCCTTTCCAGGGGCCACAGAACCATACGTTGCTAAGCGCTCTCTCCTGGTAATTACTTTACTTCTAAGTTCAACTTGTTAAGTACATCTGAACGTAACATTCAAACCAACAGCAGCCAAGTTAGTTACTCCAGCCCCGCGGCACACTTATCAAGGCAAGGAGATGCCAGAAAGTTGCAGTAGATGGTACTCAGATAAAAATTATAGAAGCAAACATTGTTATATGATAAATGTACTACTTATTTGTGGCTATGATGCTACAGTTAAACATTAAAATGCTTACTACCACTATAAAATGAATATATTATATATATATATATATATATATATATATATATATATATATATATATATATATATATATATATATGAGTACGTTTTTTACAAAACAATTACCAGTAATATTAATAATATTAAATCGCAAAGAAATCATATTTAAGTGATGTGGTTAAGTGGTTTATGGCGTGTGCGTCGGAGTAGACACTGTGCAGGTTCGAATCCTCTTCAGGGCTCCTACTGATTTTCTTATAATAATAAAAAACAGTAGCAAAGCAAAACATGCTTCTCAGTACACTCTAGCAACAGACATGATCTTGCGGTGCCGAGAGACCTAAACTCATCAAGCTTATCTTCAGTCAAAATCATCACAGCTTCAGGCATGCACTCACAGGTGAAGATTTTTGTTTACCTTATCGTAGCTACAGAAATGTTTTAACTCACGTGAGAAGTAATCCTATCTAGGATTTTCCACATCGTTTCAGTTGAAGTATGTAACCTGGTATGGCCAGATCCTGGCCTAGATCCACAGGATTGATCGACATAAGGATCCTTTCATGGCTTGATCCGAATAAATGTCCCACATGATTTATTGAGGAAACGATCAAGCTATGACCAGATCCCGGAACAGATTCACAGGATTGATCGTCTAAACGATCCTACCATGGCCTAATCTTGGCAAATATTCAAGAGGATCGATCCAGCAAACGGTCCTGCCATGTCTGGTTCCAGGTACATATTCACAGGATTCCTTTCTGCCTGTAAGTCAAGAGCATGCAACGCGATAGTTCGCTCACTACACCCACTGAAAGCTGGTCTGTGACTCCACAGCCACTACTGCTTGCTGGCTGGCTGGTCGCCGCCCCACAACGCTGCCTCAACCCT